GGGGCGCGCCAGGGCTCACCTGCAGCAGGCGTTGTAGGAGCGCTGGGTGGTGGTACTGATGGTGCTGAAGGACCACTGAGAACTGCGGATGGAGGTCTGGGCCGAATCCCTGCAAAGCAGGGGGCCCCGTGAGGGACTAGGGACGCAAGGAGGGGTCCTCTGGGGACAGGAGCTCGGATAAAGTGTTGGATGGTGCAGGGATTGGGGCAGGGTGTCCCTACAGAAGAGGAGACCCTGAGAGCAGAGGAGGTGAGGAAGCATTCAAGTGCTGGGGGTTTCTGCATGACCAGGGGTGGGGAGGAGGCTGGGGGTTAGGGCTAGAGGTTCCTGCAGGATAGGGAGCCTGGTGGGGGGGGGGCAGTGCGAGGCTGGGGACTAGGGTAGGATGATCCTATAGGACGGGGGGCCCATGAGGGGAGTGGGAGACAGTGCAGAACAGGATGTGGGGGAGCTGAGTGAGGTGGGATGCAGGGCCAGCGGGGTCTCTGGAAGGACAGGTGCCAGAGGCACTGGGCTGGGGTCCAGGGATGGCTCCCCACCTGGCCCTGACCTGGTGCTGACTCCCCCATCCGGTTCCGGAGACGACTGGGCTCCGTCTTCATCGTTTTCCAGGTTCTGTTCCAGAGCACAGGGCTCAGGGGGGGTTGCCCGGCTCAGCCCCTACCACACTCCCCTCTGGTTGGGGGGCAGAGGAAGGCCCCACACAGCTGTTTGCCATCGTCTGACAGCTGCTCCCCGGCCTCCGCCCTCACCCGCCCAGTAGAACGGGTTTGGTGATTCAGAGACTGAAACTCAGGTGGGGGCAGGTGCTGGGGGCTTTAGGAGGCAAGGGGCTGAGGTCCCCAGCACGGTCCCTGGGCCAGGAGCTCCCCTGGGTCTGAGAGGTGAAGCTCTCCGTTTGGCACCTCAGGGGTCCAAAGCAGAGGCTCTGGCTTTGAGGTGCTGGGTCTCAGCAGGCCCAGGGTTTCCAGGTTAGGGGTTCCAGCTCTCCAGGAAAAGGATCCTGGGGGTGGTGGAGGTCTCCCCGGAAAATGGGGATCCTGGTTTATTGGGGGTCTAAGGGTGAGTGGGCAAGGGCTCGTCTTATGAGCAGGGGCTTCCAGCTGTGGGGAGGATGAGGTGGGGGCTCTCACAACCGAGGAGGGGGCACAGGTTCCCATTAGATCAGCTGGTCTGAGGCTAAGGGTGTGCTCCTGAGTACGATCGTGGCTTTGATTCGGGGTACGGAGGCGCTCCTCCAGCCCAGTGAGGGGTGGAAGGGGTCGGTGCCCAGGTGGGATCTCCAGCTAGAAGTGGGCCATGAGCCTCGAGATCTGGGCTCCCAGGCTTGCTGGGGACCCAAGTCTGAGCTGGGAAGGTCTGGGCAGCACTCTGGCTTGAGGGTCGCGTCCGGGGGTCTCCTGATCCGGCTAGGGTCTCCAGGCAGATTCACCCCGGAGACGGGGCTGTCTGGGTCCCGCCTGGGTCCGGCCCGATGGGGCGGGGGTCCAAGTGGGCCGGGCGTTCACCTGGTAGCGCAGTCGGGACTGCTTGTCCTCATCGGCCACCTCGAACCGGGCCCGGCGGTCGAAATGCAGTGGACCGAAGCGGGCGACCCCACTGGGCTCGGACCCAGGGCCCGCGTCCTCCAGGGACAGCTCGAACGCGTCATCGATGCTGAACTGCGGCCGGGCGGCGCTCATGGCCCGGGCCAGCTCAGACGCCCAGCGCCGCCGCCATC